ACACAAAATTGATAGATGCCATGCAACTTATGTATGTACAATAGAACAGAACAGTCTACGAAAAGAAAAATTCATACGAATTGTCGCACACGAATACACATATGTATATATTTAAACTACTTTATAAGTGTATATTTATGCACATATAAATATATATATATATATATATATATATATATATATATATATGTATATGTTTGTGGATATATGCTGATAAGTGTAACTTTTAACTAATTTCATTATCAGGCGTATGGCTTGATGTTGGTCTACTTTTGTATATTCATTGATTTTCACCATCTCAAAAATAACCTTTAAACTAAATTAAATTGCGGAAAATTCAATTGTGGTGGTTGTGAGGAAAAACAAAAGTCATGTACACGTACACACACCCACACACACACACACACACACGCACAATTTATAAAATACATATTTAATTGAGTACGAAGTTAGTTAGTTGCAAACCAGAAAAAAATGTAAAGCACAACAACACCTAACAGAGGAAAATAAGAAGAAGAAAAAACAATTTAAAAGCATTGTGTGTGTGTGTGTTCACAAGTTATTAACGCACACGTACATACATTTTTACATGCAGGTAAGGATGCTGCATCGAACATACAGACCCAATACATGCAATAATTTCTATTACTTTATAATGCAAGGACTTCACGAGCGAAGAAAAACGACATTCAATTTCATTTTAATATCCGTATGTTGTTGGTGCATTTCACAATTACACGTAAAGCTTAAGTATGTGGCGCCCAAGTGCAGTGAGCGCAATATAAACAATAAACATATTTAGTTATACGCCACACATAAAAGTAATTTAAGTGAAAGTTGCTACTTATTATAAACTTGTCTTTGTTGTTGTGCTTAATTAAAATACTAATGAAGTTATAATAGGCTGTGAACGAATCTTTTATACCCGTCACTTTAACTTGAAAAAAAAGAGAAAATGAATTTACCATACTCTATGACAATGAGTAGGCGTGGTGTAGGCGTAGGCCAATTTTTTGCCATTTTTGCTTGATTAGGTGGTATAAACTAAAGCGCTCTTCTAAAAATTTTAAGTTTCATAAAAGTCAGTCAATATAAATTATAACTGTCAGACTTTCACATACACCCTATGTATATACATATATATATATATGACATATCATTATTGAATTATTTAAATGGTATCAAAATTTTTTCTCATTTTTCTATATGACAAGCCATTCAGGCAACAGGACAGTTATTAAGAAAATTTCTAGATAGGCGGGAGAGATGGAAGGAAGAAGTAGTGTGTTTGTAGGTTTGACTTAAAAGTGGAAACATCGCTACTGGTAAGTGTGATTTAAAAACCACGAATGCGATATGCTGGCAATTCCAGAACGCACCCGAGGGATAGAACAGCTGCCTTACATGTGTCTATGCGTAAGAAGTACATAGTCCCCATTACGCCAATGTACCTCAGCCTTTCGCTGTATCGATCGAACATCTCCGAACAATGCTTGGAGGCTACCGAATGCAAGGGCCGTAAGTCGTACACATATCGACTGCAGTGTAGTGTTTGTTTACTGGCATTGGTTGCTAAGCTTTTGTATGTTTGTGTTGATTTAGTGGTCCGGTATTCTTAGCCTGGATTCACAACGCCTCCATGTGTGTTGTGTTTCTGTACTGTGCTCTGTTGTCCTTTTCTCCTCTTACTTGTTTGTTCATACATGGATTCTGTTCCCCGTTACTTTTTCTCTGCTTTCGCATTTTACAAAAGCGAAGGTCATGTCATGTTTAGCATAAGATTTCGTTTTTAAGGGTTAAAAATGACTTAATTTGTTTATCTTTGTATTGCAGCTGAATTTCGTGGGCGTAACGAATGAATAAAAAAATAAAAAAAGAAAACTTCCTTCTAGTTTGTTGCAAACGTTTTGACGAAATGAATATTTCCACAACTTTTGGCAGTGATATCCACCACCAGTGACTGTCACTGTGTTGCTGATCGCTTTACTCGTTCAAAACACTTTTATTAACTCCAACTTGCAACTTAATATGCACGAGTTTAAAGTACATAATTGCGTAATAAGATTAGTATAAAGTCCAATAGTATCACTAGAAGTTTATATATATTTTTTCATATGTATACTTTTTCCAAAGTGGTATGACGCTTTTTATCTATTAATGTGCGACAGGGGAAAGTTTTTATAATTTCATACGTGCGTCTTAAAGAAAAATACTTAGCTTCCATGGAAAGAAGGAAACTTTTGGATTGCGTGAACCATAAAGAATATAAAATAAAAATCAACCATGACCGCTCTTCACGTAAGTGGCGCCCTGTCCTCGCGTAACGCCCTTCACGTTAACTTGGGTAAAACACCCTTTTGATTGTATAAAAGAAAAACAAATACAAATAGTATAGTCGGGCAAGGCCGATCTGTAGATACCCATACATCAGTTTGCCTAGTACAATTTTTTAGTTCCACAATAACATAGCGTAAATTAAGTCTACTTTCCATGTAAAGCAATACTTTTCATGGGATCCCCTATAAAAGAAGTAAAATCTAAAAAGTAGACCTGTGTTGTCTAAATTTTTTACACTGAATTTCTTTGTTAAAAATACGATGATACACCAATTTTCACTATGAACTATAAAAAAATTACACCTTCTTGTCATACAGAGGCTTACTGGCCGTGGAAGCGGTTATATGGGGGATTTGAAAATTTGGAGTTTTTTTTTATATAACGACTTTGTTAAAATAAGGCTTTATATATGAAGTGCGACTAAAAGTTGTCTGGATGCGCTTGTGCGTGGGTCAAAAAATGTATTAAATTTCCTTTAAATTTTGGGACCTGATTGTATGTTGCAAACAGATATATGTAGACAGACAGACAGTCGGATTAAGCTCAGCAAAAAATGTTGAGTGCAATCAGAAAATGCGCCTGAATGCTTTGGTATAATATCCCAAAACGTATTATGTATCCACGCAAATTGAATATAACCTTGCCACAACTGATGTAAGGTTTGAATATTTCACGTGCTGTGGACATTGAGCGCTTTGAGTTCTCAAAAATAAGTAGCATAGTTTACATGTATGGTATCCTCTTAGGAAAAATGGCCAGAGGAGAAGGCGGATTCGAATTAATGCAAAATGTTGTCAGTGCGGTCTTCTATTAGTTCCTTTCGAAAGCAAATGTTAGGCTTAACTTCAAACCTTTTCGTTCCTACATGGGACGTGTGAGCTCTGCGTTACAGAAAGTTTTGAAAATAAACATGTACTGAAAGGTTTGTAATAATCGGAAATGGTTAACGGATTCTCGAGAAACGCAACTCTTTAAAATGATATTGTAAGCAAAATACCTCCCTATAACATATTGAAATTAATTGCGTACCGCTGATTACAGAATTACACGAACTTACAACACTTTGCAACGCTTTAATTCTCGTTCTCGTCTTGACCGTTCGAATATTGCAATTCAAACCTCTTGACCTGCACTCTCTTTTCAACTCACTTTTCAACTCTGTTACGACTCGCTTCCGGCCGATTCGACTCATTTTGTCCTCCGCAAATATTCTGCTTATATATCCTTTTACAAATAAGTTACTGTTACCTACATAACTCGCATTTTCCGCTAAATTTCTGCCAATTGTTGTCAATCTCTTCGCCAGTCGCTAGCTGCATGATGCACGTAACGCGCCATGGATGTGTATTTGGTATTCCCCTTCCAATCGGAAAACCGATCAATTTTCATGAAAACTCAAATCATGAAAAATTACATTTTCGTAAAAATCCACTAACAAACGTAAGATTAAACAAATCTAAGAATATCTAAATCATTATAGTAATGCTAATTAGTTAACTTTTCGCAGCCGAGAACAAACCAGTCGATGCCTTTAGCAGTTAATTGTACCGGTTCGAGCAATGCTACAATGTAGCCGGAATGTCCCTTAAGTAGAGATATTAATATGTCACGACTCTTTCCTGTAGGTCGATCGAACGTCTTGAAATGTATGTATACGTATTAGAAAAGTTCTACTCTCACTTTACGGTATTCATAAATAAATTGTCGGCATCACCATTGGAAACATGGTAGAGGGTGAGAAGAAAAAAAAAACTTCATTTTTACTGTATTTTCACACAGTTTCACTGCTTCGATTACTCGAGTAAAGAAATAAAGAATACAAAGTAATAAACACTTTATAAATAAATGCACAAAATACGTACCTACCTATGTACCTACCTATTTATCTACCTACCTACCTTTCACTTAAATAAACATAAACATATGCACATATGTATTTACTTGTATACGTACACATTTGTTTTACATACATATTTATGGTAATTTATTAGCCTCAAGCTTCGCTGAAGCCAATACTTCACCACAGCAATCCTTTACAATAAACTTAAGCAAACGAAATAATAATAAAAATAATAGAAAAGAAAAAAATACAAATCTATACATGAACATTGATTTGCACATAATAAAAACTCGTAAAGAGTTTACACAATATTTCTTTACTAAAAAAAAAAAGAGGAAAATCGTTGCAAACATACACACACACACACATATGGGCAAAGCCAATGTAACAACGTAAACGATGAAATACACGGATATGCATGTCATTGTATGGAAAATGCTGGGATAACAGCAAACATGGAATATAAACAAACCTGATACAGACAGAAATGTAAAATCCAGCTTTAGAGGACACGTGACCGTCATACCTATGAACGAAGAATAAACAGAAAAGAAATCATACTACGCAACACGTCATACGAAACTACGCAATGAAATTACGACGGTATTCATTCCTCGCAACATACGCAACAAGAATGCAAAGACCATTTACAACGAGGCTTCACCCTTCACACTTAATAATAGTAAAAAAAAAAAAAAAAAAGAAAAAGATGAAAATCACTTGTACATGCCTGTGCGCATATACATGTGTGTGCGTACGACTTGTGCACAACAAGCATATGATAATCATATGCTGGCGAGCATATGTGTATAAGAGAACCTACCTGTTGCTGTTTCTGGTTTTAATAGTTGTTTAACTGTATCAATTATTTTATGTTTACTACGAACATTATTAGGTTTGTTACGTAAAATGGATTCATCACGAGGTATGATGCCACTAACGCTGTTACATGAGGAATTCACTTCTGTAACGGTTACAGCAACATTATTATTGTTATTATTATTACTATCATTATTGTTATTAGTAGTAGCAGTAGTACTAGCAGTAGTAGTCGTAGCAACAACAGTAGACAACGAAGAAACCTGATTGTTACTTTGATGTTGTTTATGTTGCATCAATCGACAAACGGGCATCGTCGTCGTCATCGCTGCGTTATATAACAAGATTGATGGCATGGGTGGCGGCGTTGGCGGACGAAAAGCATTTTGCTCTTTTTCATTTACTCTATACTTTTCTAATTCACTTTCGGCTAGTTCGGCACGTGCTATAGCCTGCTGTAATTCGTTTTCCAATATGCTCAATCTTAATTGTAAGGTTTTTAATTCATCGTTAGTATTTTTTTGTATAGCCGCTTCCATAAGATGTTGCTACAAACGAGAGGAGCGAGTATTGGTCGCATTAATAGCGAACGTTAAGAATTGTTAGTTTTTAGTATAACATAACACAGAGATATGACACATGACATATATATGTATATATATATATTAGTGTGCACAATAAGGTGGATATGTTTCAAGCGGATTTTTTGTTAGATTTTTTTTTATTTTTTTTACGAACACACAAATTATACCTTACTTTCAATACATTTTTAGCGCCTTCGATGACCTTCACCATCGTATGTATAACCAAATATTGTAATAATTTTTTTTTAATGTTTTTATGCCATCGTAAAATCATAAGTGAAGTTATATAGTGCATATAGTGTTCAATTTTTTTTATGAGCGTTACTCGGATGATGGTACTATTGTCGTTGTAGTTGTTGCTGATGAAGTTTCTACTGGTGGAGTTGAATTACTTTTAAATATACTTTGAAATGGTCTGAAGAAGAAACCCGATACTCTTCTCAAACCCTAATTGATTTGTTAAAACAAAAAGTGATAAAATATAAAAATTTATAATAAGAATTAAAATAAAAATAATATAATGTTGTTGTGCTAACTTTTTTTTTTTTTTAATAATATTTTATATATAGATAAGTAATTCTTTGTAATTGGGTAGAGGGTATTGGGCACATTTTCGTTAGCCCCAAAAAAAAGATTGTCGTTGATTCTAACTTTGAAAGATAAATAGGCAAACACTTGTACTTAAGCCTAATATAATCATTTGTACATTATTTAACGGTAACTACATTTAGGCGTCATTTAAAAAGAAAATGCGACTGCCTATTTTCGGGGATTAAATATATAAATTTTTGTTGCCTACTTTATGTAAGCAAGTATTTGCAAATATTGCAAAGAGCTAATACAGATTTTATTAATTCAAGAACTCTCATACGCCTTTTAAATCTAGAAATCATAGCAATGTATGAGTTGCCTTGTAAACGGTAAAGTAATGTATGGGCAAAACGCTGAAGTATGTAATTGGGTTAGATGGTTACATGGGTTAAATTACAATTTGTCTCTTGGGTTAAATTACAACGTACTCTTGTTTTTCGGAAATATCTGAAGAATTGCAAATATCACATCGCCAGATGTATAAACAAGTCGTAACCGCGCTTACAATATCTATAAGCATTTATCAAACTGTGACTTCCCAGCTAATAGTAAGGTTTTCAAATTTCCGCTGTGTCAGTCGTCCCGTTGAATCGTTGATCTATACACTCATTTAGGGAAATTAGCAAAGTGGTTTATGTTACGTGCCGCTCCAGACCAATCAAATTGTTAAAAAAACTCTGTTAACAACAACTAATTGAGCCAAAAACCGACCCAGTATGCCAAAAGCTGATGATTTTCCAACATGATATGGTTCGCGTTTATATAGAAATCCTCAAGAAAAGTTAGAAGCATACGGCCTCTCCAGTATTCATTCGTAATATTTGATTTGATGGCTTACTGTTTTTCTAAGCGGCGTTTGCATTTTTATGATTCTGTCTCCCTGTGGACCATCTCAACAACCCACATGTCCTCTCCATATCTAACCCACATTTTTTCAGAACGATGCCAAAAAGTATGTAGCCATGTAGTTGCCAATGGCTTTCATAAGCACTTTTTGTCAATAGCAAAAATGTATGTTTTTAGCCCTTTCTTGAAAAGTCACTTTAAAAAAAATAGGCAAGTAAAAAAATTATAGCAGTACTCTTAAATACCCTACACCACTTCACTTATTAAAAATTATGTGCTATACGGGAAGTGGTCCCAAAATTTGATAAGATCCGAACCATTTCCAATAGCAATCGTTACTGGGCGAAAAAACGTCAGTGTATCCAATTTCATTGAAATCTACATCTCGAAAATTATGAAAACACGAGAAAGCAAGACGACCCGGCAAGCCGTCAGAAAGTGATTTTCAATCGATCAGTACAATTAAAAACGACTCTATCTTAAGTATCAGGTCAACTGAAATGGTGCAGTGTATAAAAGAAAACAGTCGGCATTTATTTTTACATCGAGTGAAATTTTATTTTTGAACGGAGCAGTTCTATGAATAGATGATCCACTTCTGTAAAATGAACTCATGCAAGAAATGAACGACGCGCTGTAACCAACCAAATATCTCAAATACAATTTAATCGTTTGGAAGGCTACTTCTTTTTCATATCAATAAAAAAAGCAAAGACTTTTTGAGGCTTGAATAGTAGAAGATAAACCTCCATCGAAAAGAATATCAAAAAGTTTAAAGTTGAGCGCGTCAATGTAATAGTAACAGAATAAATGTAAAGTAGAAAATTTATACTTTCTGCACAAGTTGAAGGCAACGTATGTCGATAAATGAATGATGAGTGAAGGACGACCCATTCTGCGAGATATATAACTGGTGGTAAAAAAAATGGAAAAAAATTTAAGAAACCTAAAGACAATCATTTTATATATTACGAATACATTATGAAAGAGGAAGACTAAAGTCAGGCAGCTAGTAACAGATAACTAACGATAGTAAGCATTCTAGAAAAAATTAAAAATTTTGCCAAACGGTTCTCACCAGACAACAAACAAAACAAAAAATTAGCAAACGTAAGATCTTTATACGATACATCACTCCTGATAGGCATATAATAGATTTATACGAGCGTACGCAGTGCCAAGACAGACGCATCAGTTATCATTGAAACTGATCTAAGCATATTTGCTTATTGGTCTGTCTAGAACCTATTCATGTGTTGAACAATGGAATTTTCAAAATAGAATTGATGAAATTTGGTACATGGGCATATGTTGTCCCACGATCGAGCCATTTTTACAACCACTAGTTTAGTATGACGCCTCATATCGAAAAAGAAAAGAAAAAAACCATTATTTGAATAAACACTTCTCCGTCTTCAATATTTCTCGATGAATATCAGGGAAATGGAGTTACCTTGGCATACTAAACGCATGTAGAAAATGTGGGCCGACGAGACCAAGTCTTGGTTCCCCAACCTTATAACTATGCTTTCACAAAAGTCGGTCTTTGGATGCTAAGAAAATCTCAATTTTTGTTTTTGACGATGAAAATTGATAACGATAGGAGCCATTGGTTTACTCAGTTAGATTCCGATTTGCCGGCTCCGTTCTAAGGAAAAGTTAACCTTTATATGGTCAGCGAATCACAAACTTTGCAAGTTATCAATGCAAATAAATGATTAATCACATTAGACACAGTGGTGTAGGGTATTCAGCAACAGTCAGTCTCTCCCGATTCTATAACGTTTTAAGTTAGCGCAAAGAATTACTTATAGCAATCGCACTGGTCTCCATTAGAGTTCGAAAAAAAAAACATTGAAATTTTGTGCAATTTAAACAAAAATTCTTAAATATTGTTTTGTAGCATATGGTCTTTCATTGTTCAAATGATGTGTTTTTCAGTAACTTAAAGAATTTTCAAATGATAAAATTAAAAAATGTATTATTTATAATTTTTTATTCTTAGTGATGATTATTCTGATGATTTATATAATAAAACTCACCATTTCAACGATACGTTCACCGTGATCGCGGTTTTGTGATTCTACCTCTTCTTTAATTTGTTCAAATTCTTCGTTCTCTTTAATGTTTGTCGGCGATGGCGAAGTAGGGCCATCAATTAAGTCACGATTCTTGGCTGTTAATTCATCATTCCGTTGTTTTAACTTAATCAAAGCCGCTTCCATTCTAAACTCCCCACAAAAAAACAAAAAAAAAAAAAAAAAAAAAAAAAAAGACATTACAATACAGTCTCAGTTATCAATTAATAGGTCCTATATACATGCATATAGTATATGCATATATGCATATATATGCATATATATATATATATATATATATAACTTACTTCTTACTGGTCTCCACGCTTTCTTTCATATTTTCGGTTAAGAGTTTGGCCACTTTGGTTAAATTGCCATTTTCGACGCGCAAAGTTTCGTTTTCTTGCTCCATGTGGTGTTGCTAGAAGTACATAATGAATTAGTTTTTATCATCCGCGAAACGCTTGTATATTAGATTACATGTCTCGGCAACGTCCAGGAATGACTTGGGATAGATTTATTACTTATTAGATTACCTTTCCGAAATGGATGAAACTCGTCTGTCCGTTCTGATGTATACAACATCCCGAATGATTTAAAATAGATTTAGGTTACTTATTACATAACTTCTATGTCCCGTTATATGTGTGCAACATCCAGAATGTCTCGATGAAGACGTACTGTTTATTAGAATATGTTTCTGAATTGCTTTAAGCCTATCTGTCTGTCCCTGTGTACATTTTTTCATTTGTAAACTCAAGAACATTGTCAAGTATTGTAATGGTTGGTATTTTATGACAATAGCGCTTTGATTTGTTTTGGAGTTCAAGTGATTAAAACAACAACTTACAGTTTCCAATAATTCTGAAATTTTCTCATTAGCTTCGTACAATTGCAATTCAACTAAATTGAAAGAGTTTTTCAAGGCAGAAAATTCGTCAACCAACTTTTCAAGTAAACCGGAAGTTAAAACAGTCGACGGCACTTCATTGACTTCAACTATACTTTCCATTTCACTAGTGCTGGCTGGTGTTGGTAAAGCTTTTAGCAATTTCGATGTGAAATTTGGTGAGACCGTAATTGTATTAACTTCCGTAAAAGACGATGTTAAACTATTTCGTTCCAATTGCTTTAATTCAAGCGTAAGACTGGAAATGTATCGCAAAAAATATTTGGAAAAGAAACTTTCAAATAAATAAATGCATGACGTAACCTACCTGTTAATTTTTTCGCATTGCATTTTATGCAATTTATCTAAAGCATTACGTTCGATTTGTGACTTATCAAATTTGATCGTCATTTCTTTTAAATCGCTTTCAATGACATTGTTTTGTTTCTTAATATTTTGCAATTGTTCCGCTAATTTCGTATTTTCATCTTTTAAGTCGTTTTGCGATTTTTTATCTGTAATTCAATAAAAAAAAAAATAAAAAAAAAATTCAATTTTATTTCAATTCTAAATTCAATTCTAAACATCTAGGATGAACTTACCTTCTTCAAGTTGCACTTTAAGAGCTTTATTATCCTCTTTCAAGGCGATATTGTCTTCAAGCAAAGTGAACAAATCCGTCTCAGGATCTTGCTCATTGTAATCAGGATCACGTACACGACTTCGGCTACGCGTTTTACCTTCTTGCGTACGAAATTTGGCAACAGGGATACGTCCACGTCGCTCCATTGTTTTGAGATAGATATTCCTGTGTTATAATGCAGTTACAAAATTTATTAATAATTTTCTCGAAAAAAAAAATATATATATTTTTTTAAAGTGACATGCTATGCATTTAGGCGAATACATTTCAAGAGGACGTCCCTCTCATAGCCTACGATTTGGAAAAGTGTTAACCCTCTTTTTATTTGGCTATAGTCCTCGTGAAATTTTCACCCTCTTTTTTTTTTTATTAGGTGTTAAAAATCAAGGCAACGTTAGGGATAAATTGAAAGATAAAATATATCTAACCTGATTAGGTCCACTTTGATAGGAAACTATTTAAATTACTTTATATTGTGCCTTTTTTTGTTGTTTTGTTTAAATGACTAGATTTGACCTAACGGCTAACGGTGTGGCCAATATATTTATTCAGCAGCGTGAAGAGTTATAGATATATGTTGATTCTTTGCGTTAATTTTTCCTTTTATTTTTAATTTATTATCATTATCACTTTGCCTTATCTTCTAGAGGCTATCGGCAATATTGAAATCTTTACCGCCCATGAGAATTGAACCCACTTGGGTTGTTAATCGAAACCGTTCTCCCTTTCGGCTACTGAGGCGCAATTTGTTTTCTATTTTATTTTATTGAGCTTATTAATTGTTTAATTTATACTCGTAAAGCTCGAGGTTATGGATTCTTCTCTTTTAATTTTATGCTTGCGCTGGCTGTGAAATATTTTTAAAAAAATTAATTTTTTTTTTTTAATTATACGCTGAATTTGCTTATGTTTCCGCCAACAACTGCATAAGAACAGTATTTTTTTTTGCAATGCAAAGTTAAGATGGTCCAAGTCAATAAAGTTACAGCAAAAACAGTCTTTAGATTTTATCTTATTGAACAATATTTTTATTTACTTTTCATTTTTGTTCTTATCGGTTATTCTGCTTCTCCTCCTGCCGGTCAGCAAAGCCACAAGCGAAGTAGTGATGTGTAAAATATATCCAATGTAAACATGAACTTCATTGTTTGGGCTCGGTCTTAATGAAGTTGGAGATTAGTTTTGACACAAATTTGTTGTTTTTTTATTTTATTATTTCTTTATATTTCGTGATTAAATTTTATTTAAATCAATTTTTTTTGCTAAATTTTGTGTATTATATATCCGTTTTTTTATCGTTTATTATTTTTTCGGAAAAGTTGAATGACATTAAAGCTTCGAGAATTTCAGAAAAATATCAACGGACGGACATGACTGCTTTGATTCAGAAGTTTCAACTCATATTCAAGCTTTGACATGCTTGGGGCGATGTATGGGTATTAGTCTATAATTTTGAGACTTATATACTCGTCTTTTTTCCTTTATCTTTTTACACCCTACACCACAGCTATAGTGTGAGCCATATAAAGTTCATACCGATGCATGTAACTGTGCACCTTATTTAATAAGTTTATAGGGAATGCTTTCTTTCTGAACCTGTCTGTCCATCTGTCCATTATTTGCTTTCAGCATATTCATCGCAAATGTTCGAGATATTTTATTCTACAAATTTATATGAACGTATGTAATACCCACGAGGTTTTATTATATATTTTATATTTGTTATAGCAATTAATTCAGAATCATTTTTTAAATCGATCTAAGCTTGTCTGTCTGTGTGTCCGTCTATCTGCCTGAACTAATAATATAAGGCAACAAATTGCATTTGACGCCATAGTATAAGATATTTATTGGTCCGCTCTTACCCGACGAAAAGTCTTTTTTATTATATATAAGCGTAATGTTATTTTATTATTTGATATTTGTTATCTTAATCATAACTTGGTGCCTTATAATTCCAGCTGCGAATTGTAACATTGCTTGAATTCTTTATAAAAAATTAATTAAATTAAGTAAAGCCTCCAAGAGCTGAACAAAAGAACATCTGTTAACAGTGATGCATTTTTATCCAACTCATCCGATATTTACATAAATTTATTGCATCTTAAGAATTGGAAAATATAGCAAACGATAGAAATGTACGGATAAGTGAAATTTCCCATATTTTTTCCTGCTTCTGACACGATGATATCAATATACATAAGGTGACATATACCCACACACTTGAAATATTCCAAAAGATCTTTCTTATATAATATATATGGCGAGGAAACACTCAATCTTTTTATAAGTAACTGCAGTCTTCACATGTAGCGATAGACAATTACTGCAAAATTATTGTCAGCAGACATGAATTCTAAAAAGAGATTCGGATATGGTCTTAACTTTTTTGAAAGTATCCACTATTTTGAGATGATAGGAAAACTAAAAACAATAAATAAAAATTTTCAGTTATAATTCCCATAGCAAGCATGTGATTGCACTTCCAGATTCTCAGCGAGTAGCGACGTTTACACCCAGCGCCGATTGTCCAATAAGTTACAGAAGAGCTTAAGACAGACCTATATTTCATTATTCATTCATTTTCTTTCATTTAAACTATCCTATCCATCTGCCCGCCTAATATCAGTACATTTATTATTCCGTTCAACCTATAGGTCACACTTTCTCAACACATTTCTAAGAAATATAACACACTGAGCGGTTCCGATCGAAGAACGAAAGCTATTGAAAATTGATTTGATGCTCCCATACGACCCTAGTTCTATATATCGTTTAAACTGCATACAAAATAAATGTGAAAAAATTGGATGGGACCAATTTTTTAGATCTTCACTTTATTGAGCATTGAGCGTAGAAATGCGGACTTCATCTTATATAAGGGTTCTAAATAAAAATAAACTTTTACTAACCAACAAAATCTAATTCTTAGTGCTTTATGGAAAAAAAAGGGAAATAAAAAAATTGAATTTGAACTAAAGCCCGCTTTCACGGGAACAAAACCCTTACGTGGAAAAAAGGCATGAGAGAGTTTCAATTCTCTATAATAAAAACAAATTAAGAATTTCACCAAGTAAAATGGTATAGGGCAATTAACGCCGACCTTACCTAACTATAAAAACTTTCCGATTTTTGGAATTACCGAATTGAATCACAATTGCGAAAGGCTCTAGAATTGTGTTCTGTGTACTATACTACATAAAGTCAAATGAAACGAATAAAAATAATATAGTCAGCCACGAACCATCATTAAATACCCTATTACCACTCTACAAGGATTCAAGTAACTTGTCGAAATGAGTGTGGTTCGATCCGAACTACTTTCAACACTATTCGTTCCTGGATCAAAATTCATCGATATTCGAAATTTCCTCAAAATGTCCCAAAAGGTGCGACATAAGAAAATCAAACGAACAGACGGACAGACGAGCTTAAAAAAAAATTCGAAAAGTGATTTCGAATCGATCGGTATAATAAAAGGTGGATCTATCTCAAGTTCTTCTTGGAATGCTGCGTATATCCGCAAAAACTTCATGTACCACAAACGACGGTGTAGAGTATAGAAAAAAAAAAGAAACTATATTTTTGGTGTAATTGTCCTGGACGTGGATGGGGGTAAATTGTACTTTCTACATGCCTACTAGGAAATTTTCGACTAATAAAAGTAGTAACTAAAAAACGCCGTGGATGTAAGTTTACAATGCATGATAAGCTAATTCGGGGCCATAAGGTCTCTCACTTACCGCGTAGAGGTCACTTGATTTCCAAAAAAAAATTCAATGTAGGCAAAAGAGAACATAAGCCATTCTCAGAATTGTCTAATGGATTTTCACTTCAAGTTGAAATGTTAACAAATATTTAATGGCCGACTCCATTTTGCGTTCCAACCTCAGATTTTTATGCTTGCGAATTACACATTCCCGCTTATTGAATAAACTATATATGATGATCGTGATTTATAGAAATTTCAGCTTATGAAAAATTAATCTCTCCACTATTTCACCATTTTCGAGTGGGCTTTCAATTCAAATTGAAAGTCAAGAGAAATTCCGACAGAGTTTTGGGAATATTCAAAGGAAAGGGCTGGCGCTCTGCCTCCCATTTTCTTGCAGACAGATAAACCCCACTAACCAAGAAACTCAACTCATACTACGGGAGAGTTATGCGATTTCCAAAAATAGTGATTGATGAAAGAAAGAAAAAAAAACCAATGCATTTTTAATCCGTTTTTGATTGGATAACACCAGAGATATACGTCTTTTATTTCTCTAATTTATTTTTAGCATGAATTATTTGCAATATTTATTAATATTATAATTATTTTAGTAATATATTGTTTCTTTCTCTTTCTTTATTAATATTCTTTTTATAATACTGCATAATATATTTTATTTCGTTTAATTTCCTTTTTTTTTTTTTCTCTCTCTCTTATTTTGCAATAATAAATGTTTTTAACCTATTTAGGGATTTTGTTTCTTTTTTACTTTAGTTTTTGTTATCCTTTTGTAAATTATTATTAATAATTGCTTTTACTTATATATTTTCCCCATTTCTTTTTTGTTTCATATATTTTATTATATGGTTTCGCCTTTATCTCCCCTAACACTTGTGTTATAATTTTTAATTATATATATATATATATATATATATATATATATATTCGTATTAGTATATATATATATAGATATTAAATTCTGTATAAAAATCTAAAATTATAAATAAAAAGAATTATACGAATAAGAAAAATAATATAAAATAATAATAATATAAATTCAAGGTCTACTTAAGATACCCCTTTTCTCGTTTTTTCGATAAGGAAAAAAAAAAAAACAAATTCTTTTCATTTTTTTTAAATTTCTTAAACACGCTGCGGGATTTTTTTTTACTTTTATTTATTTATTTATTTTTGTTTTCTTAATTCTTCATTTGTTAACAATTCTTTGGATTTCAGATGATTGTTGTTGTTATTCAATATTTATTTTTGTTTTAACTACCAATAGACTGCGAACTGCATGAAATTATAATTAATTACAAGAAACAAAATAGAAATTAAAATAAATTTATTTTATGTATTTTGTACTAAAAGGTCGTAAATTTTTGTTGTTGCTGTTGCTTGTAGTTAATTTAAATAAATTACATATTTAAGGAAAAGCAAATAAAATAAATACAACATAAATAACTTCAAGGAATTCCAAGATTTTTTTCTTTTCAAAATTTTAAATGCCGTTTTCCGATTTTTCCCCTCTACCCCTTCGTGTCCCCTTTCTTTACCGTTCTGAAGGTAATTGTTAACATGCACACGCACGCACACACGCACACACACACACACATACATACACGAAAGAAAAAACAAAAAAAAAACCTAAGAATTTACGAACAAAAAATAAATGATTTTGATGTTTTTTGGTTTTTTTTTTCTAGTATTTTTCTTTTTTCTTTTACGAGGAACTTGTTTTTAAAGTGTTTTTTTTCTTTTTTAAAGGTTAATTTCGAAATAATTTTGATGTTTTCGATAAGACAGAATCTCTTAAGAGTTAAATTTAAAATATATAGAGACGTTTAAAACACTTTCTCTGAGTGTGTGATATATTCCTTTTTTAAATAATAACTTAAAATTTATAATTTTTTTTTTTTAACATTTTAAAAATGTTAGTTTTTCCTTCTACTTTTTCTGTTGGTTGTTTTTTTTTTTTTTTTTTTTACTTTAAATTAAATAAAAGAACTAATAATTTCAATAAATTCGAATTTTTTTTAAATGGTTTTTCTCCAAAACAAAATAATACTAGGCGACAGCCGAACAAAAATGTCCTTAAGGATCCTGCCTTATTTAGCGTTCTTGTTTTTAATTTTTTTATTTATTTTTTTCTTTTTATATATATATATATATTATTTTGCTTTTTGTTTTTATATAGATTTTCAAATGCAAATGTGTTTGTTTAGCCCAAAAAGTAATTTCACGTGTTGTTGAACTGTGTCGCGTTAGACAACAATTAAAATAAAGAACAAAAAAAAAAAAACAAAAAAAAAAAAAATTACTTGTCTACACTTAATTGCAGTCTATGATAATATTGGCTTGAAAGCCTGTCTTCGCCTCAGTTAAAGTAACTTTTGTATATAGGCATGCAAATGAGCGCTTAATGGTGTTAGATTTTCTCTATTTACTGCATTGCTGCCGGCACCTTGACTGTATTGAGACTTTTGTTGGTCACTGCTCATCATCGTTGTGCTATCGCCGGGCGATATTTGACGTCGGGTTTTATACCATTTTTCAAAGGTGTCACGGGATATTATTTCACCGTCGTGATAAAGCAAATCGAACACGTTACAAATCATATCGTCAGCTGTTTGGGCATCATAATATTCTCTGAGGGACTCGATGATCGCATCCAGGCAGCATAGCTCGAACGTTTCCTGAGCATCTACGCATCGTCTCAGCAACGGTATGCATTTGTAACGAAATAGTTCGACATTAAGTTGCGGCCCCGCATCGCTATTTGGTCTTCTGCTATTGCTATTATTACTACTAGTACTAGAATTAGATGACGGTATTGCCGATGTCATCACAGTGGCATAATCACAGCACAGAAAACGTGTTAGTGTTTTAATGAATTGGCTATTTATATTTACATTGGTGTTAATATAATCTATTGCTAAATCGCAATCGTTGCAATCATTTAGCAAACATTCTATTCGTTTAACATGTTGCTCTACTAAGGCATTAGTATTGACTGCTTTAGTGCCTAACGCAGTCATCTCAGGCGCAGGATTATGACCGCAATCGTATATAAATTCGAGAGTATTATTTTTCACAAATTCCCGCCATTGTTGTTGATCATTAAAGAATAATTGACCTCGATCGAGTTTGAATTCCTTGTGCCATAAATCTCTTAAATAATTTGCTCCAAATTCGCGGGTAAAGTGTATGACTAATGCCTTTAGGAAACGTTCTGTAAAATGACGATCGTCGCGCCACTGTTGCTGCCATATATCATTAAAACTGATTAATCGTTCATGCAGCATGGGACCCAAGAATTCAAATGCATAACACCAGCCATTCGGCACATCGACTAACAAATCGGGAAACTCATCGGCAAATTGCTCGTAAGCTCGTCCGAATACATTCTGATCTAAAGCTTTTGTGCGCAATAAGTAGGAAAAAACTGCAGCACATGCTGAACGCTGAGCCTTTTTAACGGCCGACAAATGCAAATAATCTATTAAAAGATAATGCATCAATGATATTTGTTGCCTCTTCGATGTTGAGCGCCAAGTATTAAGCACTTCTTGATGCCAAGCTTTATTATGTATACTACTGCAGCCCATCACCTCTTCGAGCAAATGATTCAATAATTTCTGATTATCTTTCGCGCTAAAAGTCTGCTGCTGATTGTTGTCACATTTTTCATCATCTTCTGAACCGGTACCAATACACCCAGACGACGATGTTTGATAATTGGACAATTTTTCTTCGCGTTCTTTAGCGACAGGGGAGGATGATGACTGACTTTGATACTGATTGGTTTGTCTTTTAAAGCTATTGTTATTACTGCTGTTGTTAGAGCTCGTTGAACTACTACTGGCACCATAGTTGTGTTGTTGGTGTTGTTGCTGCGATTGTTGATGTTGGGACATTGTATGCGAACCTGTCGATGTCGCAGTAGGTGTGGCTATATTCGTTCCAGTTAATACTGTAGTACCTTGACGCACTCCGTGGGAACGCCAAATGTAAATAGAGCTGTTCCCCAGTTTGGTATTGGTTTGATTGGTATCATCGCCGCGTGAGAAATTCAATTTTTTCGGATCGATACTTTGTTCTTGTTGTGTCATAAATTGAGATTTTTGTTGTTTTTGCATAAAGTAATTGCCACCGCTGCCTGAGCCACCCGCAGCTCCGCCAACACTAGAGTCCCGCATATCCGTGCTCATTAACCGAGATTGCCGCTGATTGCCGGAATTGTTACCGCCACCGTAACCTAAACCACCACCACCACGTGAGCCACGCTCATAATTAGCATTGCCAGATCCGTGGCTAAACTTATCGTCTTGCCTGCGACGGTGTTGTTGTTGCTGCTGCTGTTGCTGATTGCTATTGTTACCGCAACTGCCACCCTGGTTACCATGGGACGGTGGCTGATCCCAAGTTCGCGATCTTAAATCTATAACATCTTGCATCATAAAACGCACACGACTACTGATTTTCGTCTGATTGCTAGCTGCCGTTGCTGCTATTGCTGCTTTGACATTAGCCCGCGACTTATTCACAATGTCGTGCATTCTAATGAAGATTTTATCCATACGCGCATTGCTATTGCAATGATCGGGACCAGGCCCCTCCAATAGGTGGCCGACAGTAGTTAAAAGTTTACACATATATTCCAGCTTTTCTTCCGAGCCATGCTCTAGCAAGGATTCGATGCACAACAAAACACGATCACTTGTCAACGATTGTAATTTATACATTTCACCGATAAAACGCACCGTACCCCAGGCCCGCCGTCGGAACTGATACTCTTGATCTTCAATTTCAGCTTGTAATTCTAGTTTTTCTTTAGCATCATTGCTCGCATCCATTTTATCAACTAACGGTTGTAATTTGACTTTTTTCGCATCGGCATCATTGACATTCGTTTCAAATTCGTGTTGTATGCGTTTAATGAGCGAACTATTAAACAGCGTCTTGCTGTCGTGTTTTATTTCTTGGAAGAGCATTTTACAAAACTTTGCGTAAGTCGGGGCAAAATTCGGTTCGCTAACGGTTTTCTCAAATATCAGTAACATAACCTGAAAATTATGAAGCATAATGTGGATTTCTCGCTTGCAATTTTTCTTACTTTAAATTAATTTCACTAGGGATTAATTTACCGTAATGCTAGCTTGATATAATCGATTTACCCTCTAAGCTCTCCAATAAATTGTATATAAAGTGAATGTTATTTTAGATAAATTTACAACATTTTACAATCGCACAAGTTACAAAGTGTATTCGTATTGGCGAAGTTCCCGCCTTAGAGGAATCTAAAAAGTATTTCCAAACAAACTGTGCAGGGAAAAAATACCTCTCAATACAAACATTCATCCAACATACCCTATGCGCAATGGAAAAAGAAATATATCTATATATATATATATATATATAAATAAATATATATGTATACATATGTAGAATAATTGCAATATGCCGTGACCTTCTTCAGGGGACAAATGCTGAACAAAGTTGGCTTGTCAGTTGTTAACTGGATGAGCAGAGAGTTGAAGCTATCAGAGACCACGAATTATTTCCGAAAGATACCTTACAAGAAGCATATTCCTCTTGCTAATTGGAGATGAGTCTTTGCCGTTTCGAAATTCAAAAGAAAAAAAAAGAAAACGAAAGATTACGTTGTAAGAAAATTCATTAAATCACTGTAAAAACCCGAAGATCTCTCCACATGAGAAACGGATGTGTTTAATGAATGCGTCTTTTAGGGGGGAACAACAGCAGATGGCGCTGGTTTGCATCTCGCTTAGAATCACTTATGCGTAAATATTCTAGACTATTTCCACGATTATAACGTTGAACGGAACAATTTAAGAATAGGACAAGTTTGGGAAAGATCCTATATTGATTGTCAAGTACGCTTTCGTTCTTTTCTTCTTCACAATCCATATTTATAGAAGAAACGGGAATCATTGATAAAAGCAAAGCTTTCAAACTTGAATATCATGAAATTCGATGGATAAGTTAAGCTAAATGTAATCGCTCTTACCCTTCCCTTATAATATAATGAATATTTGTTTATAAGATTTTATGAGAGTATTATTAATTTACATTAGGTGAGAGTGTTATGAAATCACAAGTACCAAGCCAACATTACGCAAAAAGAAAAAAAGGTAAAAAAAAATCTACTTAACGGTTATAAGAAATGTATGAAAGAGATGCGAACGAAATGAATATTTACTTGTTGCATTTTCTCCTGGGTATTCATCGAAATGTTCGTCATGGTTTTGAGTAAAACCTCAAAATTATCGGGTGTTAACTTATTGAGTACGCCGCGTACTCTCTTAAGCACTGTATCAATGTCTTCGTTGATGGGATTTAGTGCCAAAGCCACGGAATTGTTGGATTTGCTTCGCAGCGTTTCTGGTTGCCAGGCGTTTTCGCACTCTGACAATTTGATTTCCTCGTTGAGTGACAAGTGGACCCGTATAATTTCCTTTTCTCGTGGATATTGCAAACCCAAATTACCGCTGCCTGCTGCTGCTGCTGCCGCGCTAACGCCACCGGCCCCGGCATTAGCATTCGAAATGGCAGTCGCATTTACTCGCATCATCTGATGATCGTGCTTGCGACCTTGTCGTCGTTTGTTCCCTACGAATTCTATCGATTCGTTAAAGCTCATTTGCTGATATTGCTGTTGTTGCTGTTGCAGACCGATCGAAGCCATATTATGACCACCGTGATGTGACAAATGATGATGTTGTTGACGTGATACAAATAATTGCATAATGCATTCATTACCCCCATTATTTTTGTGCAACTCCAAAACAGGAGGCTTACGTGCCACCGGGGCTTTAGCGAATGCTTTCAACTCTTCTAAATTGTATTTAATGATGGTGGCTTTTGGTGATTCCAATGCCACTGTCACCGCACTATGGCTGTGATGGCTATGTGCATTTTGACTCTTAGACGAACGGTGATGGGTTAAGGGATAATTTTTCATTCCAGCCGTAGAATCAACGGTATCATTATTATTAGCTGACGTTTTATGCTTATGACCTTTACTTCCAATCAACATCGTCACTCCAGTGCTCGTCGTTTGCCTGGTATCTATAAGTTTCTCATATTCTTTGAAATCACCAAACCGAATATCAGTGTAGTCCTGGTCTTGCTGAAATTGCTGCTGTTGCTTCAGCAATTGCAATCTTTCCTCTTCATCTTCACATGCCGACGAGGAACTATTTAAAAATTGCAATTGTTGCTCTTCTTGCTTAATCGAATTTAATTCACTGCCACTGCTACCTTCACTTAATATGGATGGTTGTAAGAATTGCGCAACAATCTCTTGTGTTTTTGTGTGTTTTCGCTGTTGATTTGAATTTTCAGTATCGGCTTGAGGATGATAGAAAAAAAAAAATTAAAGATGTCAGAAAAAACTCTCTGGATTGAATCCAATCCAATAAACTATATTGAACTGTTATAGTTTTCTAAAACAGAAAACCCATTTTCAAATCCAAAATAGTTTTATGGATTACATTCATAACGTAAAGAGCTTATCTGTGCAACAACATAATTGTTGTGCTTGTAAGAGAAAACGGGTAAAAATATAATTACTTTTTATATCAGTTTCTTTTGATTGGCCGCCACTGCCGCCACCCGCGGCTCTAGCAGTCGCCGCCCGCTGTTGTGTCTGGTGTTTGGAGGAACTGCTAACTAAAGTTGCGCTCGTCGCTGAATCTTTTAAACTAAAGCCAGAGTTATTATCGTTATTGTTGTTATTACCACTAATAGCGGTGCTTGTGAAAGACGCATTAGTTACATTATCAGTCAGTACGATATTTACAATTCCAGCGGTATTGAGAGCAGCCTTACTGTAGCTATTATTATTATTAATATTACTATTGTTTCCACTGTTGTTGTTGTTGCTGTTATTATTATTATTATTATTATTAGGATTGGAATTGTTATTGCTACTGCGGTGCTGTTGCTGTTGCGATTGTTTTTGATTTTCTTTGGTGCGTTTGGGAGCCTTTTTATTCTTTCGCGCTACCGTTATGAAATTGTTATTATTATTATTGCCGTTGTTACTACCGCCGCCGCTCAAATTCAGGACTAAACTATTAGAAGTTCCAGAATTTTGATTAGATTTCGAATTACCGCTACTACTGTTATTACTATTGTTTGCTGACTCTGTTAATTTATTTCCTCCTGTGGCGTGATGCTTATTCGACCGATTCGAATTGTTAGACGCTATTGGATTAACCGCATTGGACTTGTTAGCGGCCTTTTGTGTTTTCTCCTCCTTATTACGAGCTGTGGCAAGTGCCGAGGACGTGTTGCCGCCGGCTAAAATGAGCGAGAATGGAATAATGGTTATAAAAAAATAGGACGCAAAACATTTTTATTAGTAGTGATTGCAAGTAAGTACTTTTCTGTTTGGTATTAGTTGTGGCTGCATTGGAATGACTCGAAGATTTCTCCTCAGATCGAACTTGAGTGTTCGGTTTGCTGTTGTTAATAGTAGTTTTCAGACTATCGTTAGGATGTTTATTATTTGTTGTTGATGTTGTTGTGGCTTCAATAGCAATTTTATAGTCAGTTGATGACATCATCGTGGGAGAAGTAGAATTCTGTTGGCTTTTAAGTTCAGCTATATCTTCCTGTACCTCATCAACGGCGTTACAATTTTTTTTCTTAGATTGCTTACGATCACCAGCATCAATGTCAACTGCTGCAATTACGACTGGAAACCAAACTCAAAATTACTTTCTTTGTCAAAAACTAATTTTAATAACTCTACGAAAAAAAAAAAAATTTAAAAAAATTACCGTCATCTTTTACTGGAACACTGACAACAGGTTGCTTGACATCATCATTTTTATTGCAGCTATGACCTTCCAAACGATTTTCACTCAATTCGTCACTACTTGTTACTAGTTGTTCGTAATTTATTGCCATTGTGTTCATTATTTCTTTTTGTTTAATTACATTTTCTCCAGAAGCTTGTGACGTAGACGCTGGATAATCCTCGAGTTCTGTGGTATCAGCATCCGTATCATCTTGTTCTCCGCCACCGCACACTGATGTTTGCGAAATCTCTTCCGACTGCGGTTTGCTTAAAGTTAAACCTTCTTCTATCAAATCCTGAACATTCGCAGTTGTTTCCGTGGTTGAACTTATGCTTCCTGATTTATCTTTTACCGCATCAGTTTGCATTTGTTGGTCAATTTTATCTTTTGACCCTTGGCTAGGCACCTTTGTCACTACTAATGTTGCGTTGGGAGAAACCTCCGTTATACCATTTGTCGATTGATCGCTATCTTTAGTTTGTGTTGTTTTTTGACCATGCGATAGTTCCCCCGTGTCCGAGGTAACGCTAATGGGTGACCTCACCTCAACGGCAGTGTTTTTCTTTTGTGGTTCGGGGAACTTAAGCGGCTCTAAGGTTATGGGATTTACTATGGGTATGGCATGTTTTCGCTGTTTTGTTGCTAAGTGTTCGCCACCAGCTGCATTCGAGGAACTGGTATTTCCGCCTGCACCAGAAGCAATATTCAACGAAGTGGATGATGTTGAAGCGCTTATTGGTCCACCTAAATGACCAAAGGGTCCCTGCAAACTAGGGGCTGTCATTGAAGTAGCTGTAGCAAGTAATGAACTGGGTTGGGGCGGTAAACCAGCAGCAGTACCCATCTGCAAGGGCGGCGTGCAGTACGGTGGCGACACGTAGGTGGTGGGACCGGCAGGTGCACCACGACCGGTCGCATTCGGCAGCTGATGGGCGACATGTACAGCGGATGCGGATGGCGCTGCGGTTTGCTGATGCACATTTGTTAATAACGAGGTCCTAGGAGCGGGTGCCAATGCAGTGGCTTGCAATGCAAAATAATTTGGCGGAAATATTGATATTGTACCTGGCGCATGCTGACGCGGATGTACAGCTGCCGGAATAATGCTTCTCATTTGATGTTGTTGATGATGTAAATGTGACTGTGCTGGTGTAAGTGCGGTAGCACCAGCATTTGCATGAAAATAGTGCAGCGTCTGTTGGGCGTGATGTAATGCTGCCGTTTGATGATGTTGATTATTCGTTTGTTGGGATTGTTGCGGTGTTGGAAACAAGGCTGTAGCGCCTTGACCAGTGCCAGGATTACCGTGATTTCCTGCGGCGGCCGCAGCTGCCGCCGCCACTGTACTATATTGAGCAGCTGCAACCATTACTGCAGTCGATTGTTGCTGCAATTGCATAAAGGTTGGCGTCATGAATGCGGTATGACTGGTGTTGGGCGGTGGCATGGGGGTTTGTATGAGAGTACTTCCTGGCGCAAAATGTGGCATATTGGAATTTGTGTTAGCCTGCCGTGTGGTGATGTTAGCAGCATTCGAATTGTTACTCCCAGATGTGTTATTACTGTGCGGTCCTTGTGAGCTATTCCCACCTGAGCCCATACCGTTATTGGCACCTTGCGAGGATAGCGTAGAGGCCAAATGTGCGGCAGCTGTTGCCACATTGCTTGCATTTCCTTGTAGTTGATGCTGTGCGTTAGGGGGGGGTGCAGCCTGCACTTGATGGACTTGATAAGGAAAATAAGCTAATGGCAGTTGTTGATGATGTAGATGGTGTTGTAATTGCTGTGTTTGTTGTTGCTGCTGTTGCTGTTGTTGTTGTTGCTGCGGGTGGGGGTGGGAATGCGTTGAAGATTGGTTGGCAGTTGTTTGGTGGCTTAAGTGCACCGAGCCTGCCTGCAACTGTACCTGCTGTTGCTGTTGTGGCTGTTGTTGGTGAGCAGAATGATGATGGGTCTGATGATGGTGTTGCTGCTGCTGTTGTTGCTGTTGTTGCTGCTGTTGTTGCTGCTGACTTGGGCGTATTCCCTTCCCACCCCCTCCCGTATGCACAAACATAGAAGGATCTTTCAAAGACCTTTATATAGAAAACCAATCGTCCAAAGGTATAGGGCCGTCGCATTCATCGTTTTTTTTCATCATGTTCACATTATGAGTGATGCAAGAAAACGAAAAAGAAGGAAAAGAGAAACGAAAACATATTACATAATATAGGGTTAGTAACATAATGAGGTGTAAAAGGTGCGATATTCATTGTATGCAGTTCATGAGAAGTATTTATGAGTACAAAAAAAAAAAAAAAAAAAAAAAAATTCCTTTTAATTAGTAATCAGTTACAACTTCTCGTAAGGAAATAAAATGTACAAATAATCAAGTTCAAAATTTGATGATGGATGAAGGTGTGTATATACAACTTTGAAATTAATAATATTAGTAGTGAGTGTATGGACCCCCAAAACAGGAGTTACAAATTGATGATGAAGAAGCAAATGCGTTAACAAATAAGCACATTAATAAATTAATCATTTAAAGTGCACTTCGCTACATGACATGCAGAAATTTTACACTTAAATTAAAAAATTACGAATCATTAATTATCAAAAGTAATCCATTAGTTTTTGTTATCAATAATTTATTCTCTATATAGTATAACGCACACATATATTTATATGTACAACAGTAAAAGAAGGGGTATATTTCGATGAATATTATACTACAAGCGATCACTAAGAGCAAGAATTCGTCTTCTTCTCGAAGACGAAAGAAGCGAGCGATGCATTAATACCTATAAATTAAGCTTTCGCGAATGAAGATGACGTATTAATTTTACTCATATCTTTTACAAGGCTCGTCATAAAAAATATTTGTTGAAATATTCTCTCTCATAAATCAGTCATCGTCCGTCACTTCAATATTATTTGTTTAACAACTACAGGTTTATTTATTTATTTACTAATTCTTAGCTCTAGTGCTCTAAATGAGCGAACCAAGTCTGCGTCTGAAAGACTGTGTTGTGAAGATTGAAAAAAAAAAAAAAAAATTCACACACAATCAACAACAATGGCCTACTTATCATGTCTAGCACAAGCTTGTTCCAATAACATATAAAACTGTTCGTTAACTCTCGTTCATTCATATTCCTTATAGGCGTACACTTATACACGCGCATAAACTTACACATTCTACACAACAGGTTTTAAAGAATTTATCGTAAGAAGAGAAAAAAGAAAATATTTTGTATATTTATATAATATATAACATTTACTATACATATATGTTAAAATTGAATATACAGATAAATCGAAATGTTTAGAGCAATATGACAAAAATGATGAGAGAGCAACTGAATCTGCTAAGAAGTTTTCGTTTATGTTATTCATCAGGCAAAGCAGAAATATATCGAACCCAATCCATCACGAAAGTCTTCTTCTTATCTTTTAAATGTATGCATGCCCTAGCAGGTGAACAAAATTCAATTTCCAAATCAAAACTATTCGCTTTCAATAAAAATATTTTATATTTCATATAATGTATATTGTTTGAGTTTCAAGTCAATAAGACGAGGCCACAAAGAAATCGTTTTATAAAAGAGCAAAATATTATTAAATAAACTCGAAGTACTTTCTTTCATTTTCTATGAAAATCTCTTTTTCCTAATTAGAAATTCAGCTTTGACGACATCCATTCATAGAATTTTTTTGATTTTTTTCTTTTTCCCTCCTACGATTCGAGAAATGACTGCTTTCATGTAACATTCTTTTTCCCATACATCAAACTTACAAAAACCTCTTCTCCTACCCTCTTCCTAGCTACTTTGTCAAAGTCAGGAAGCGTTCTTTTTACGAGATTAAGAGAAGCCAAAACGAAGAAAAATAATTAAAACCTTTAGTTTGATAACAAAAATTACATGAAATTAATTTAACTAAAAGTGCCTGTTAGTACAAAGATCACGCAGTTAAAGTCCAAGTGCTATGATAAACAATCCTAAGTTTCTTTTTCAAACCCCTTCAGAAGTGCTAACCTTGATACCAACTGGGAAGCAATTCTCTATTTCTACGGGATTAGTACTGTTCTTGAATTGCAATTAAATATTGAGAAAACATTTTTCAATAGGTAGCGGAAAATAATCTCAATGTCCAACAACAAATACTGAGTTCGGCTTGACCGAAACTTTGTTCTAAATATATCTAAAAGATTAGTGTTTTAGGCAGAGATGAAATCTGTAAGACACACTTCCTATGACGCCTTAACTATTACTAGAATCGGGGCCATATGATTGGCGAAAAGATATTGAAGCAATAAATAGCACGAGATCTAGAGAATAATTGCTGCCAAAGTGTAAAACAGGACAAAGTTATTTTAAATATTAGAATGCTCTGCTACCAAAGCACTGTCACAATGAGAATAACTTAACATAATCACCAAAAGGCCGACATTCCTGTGCCTTTCTCTACATAAGTTAACATAATCGCCAAACGACTACAACTGTCAAAAAATCCAGTCGAGTAAATTTTCATTTCCTTTGAAGAATTCAGGAAACTATTGTTCATCTTCTCAACCGTTTCAGCGAAAAAACCTTTGTCTGTTTTTTGAAATCATTGAAAAAAAAAATCGCTTCCAAAATAAATATCATTTTCCTTCCATTCACTCAAAACAAACAAAGTTTTATACAAGACAACTTTATTCTATACACTTTTTTGTGTACTATTCACTAACAATATTTTCATTGCATGTTATTTTCAAAAATTACACTGGAAAAATGCATACAATTGCTTACGGAGACTATCTAAACGATCACTTGCACAAGCGTGTAGATTATGCATAAATAATTAACAAAACTAAACAAAAGATAAATGAAAGAAATTATATTCGGTTCTATCCGAATTTTAGATATCCACCACTGAAATATTTTAATTATGGTGTCATCGCCAAAAAATAGAAAAACGATTTATATCTTAAATATCGAGCTTACCACTGCAAGGCAAATCCTCGATTAAAAAAAAAAAAGAGAAATTATTTCCAATAATCATTATTTATTTTCAAAGCATTGTAGTAAAGCGAGATGATTTTATAAATAAATTAATATCTTAAGTGGTGGATACATGACAACTACAGGAGTGAAGTAAACTAAATGCAAAATTAAAGTAAATGCATAACATGTCATCATCAAACAAATTCATGTACGTATGTAACAAGAATGTAAGGAAAAAAAGAAGAAAACAAAACAAAAGAAAGATATAGGGAAAGAAAAACTTACCGCTTCCCGCTTGATCTATTGTAGTTTCTCGTTTGATTTTTATATGAGAAATTCACGGTAAATTATTTAAAATTACTTTAGCAAAAAAGAAAGAAACGAAGAAAAGCGAACGGAAAATCGAAAGTAAATTATAATTTTCTCGCTTATATGGAATTTCTCTCTAATATGTATATAAAAATGTATGTCGGCGCCTTCAATATATAATAGAATATATAATATGGAAACTGTTTTATTTCTTTTTTGTTTTAATGATTCTTTTTTTTTTTTGTTGGTGTTTTTCGTACACACAATTGCTGTTACTCAGTACCGAGACGCCGCTGATGATGATGAATAACACGACGATTTGTTGCTTTATTTTGAACCATACAACTGACAACGCACTCAGAACACACAAACGAAAACTATGGAAACACGTAAAACCTTGCACTTCTTTGTTTCACACGTATGCAAACTTGTACTTGCCTGTATATGTGAAAAATAAAAAATAAATTGAATTGAAATTTAAGCTTCTGTTATTTTATATTACATTCACGCTGTTTTTTTTTCGTTTTGCTGAATTTTTTTTTTGTTGTATTAGCACGCACGCACACACAACGCTCGAAGGTAATTACAATACTGCACTACACCACACAACTTCCTTTGTTTTGATTTCTTGTCTTGTCGTCGAAGTTAATATTTTGTTGCTTTACACGTTTTCCTGCTTTTCTGGTTTAGTTACAATGTTTTCGTTGCGAGACGAAACAAAAAAAAAAAAGGAAAAAATGTAGCTGTTTTTCAATTTAGTTTATGCTTTTCTTTTATTAACGAATTTTTTTTCTTTTTTTTGGCTTTTTTGCAAAAGTATTGCAAACGGAGTTTTTAGTTAAAAAAAAAAAAAAAAAAATTGTAAACAATGAATAAACAAAATCAAATAGGCTAAAGAAGAAAACGACAAAAAAATTTCGTATTTTTTGTCGCCCGTTTTTTGCGACAAATTCGCAGTGAATTTTCTTTGAGCCAAAAACAAAATATGAGTCCGTCCGTGTGCTCCTTTTAGAGTTTTTTTTACAAGTTTCTAATTCGCTCTTTTTTGGGTTGTTTTATTTTTTTTTATTTTTCAGTTTTGAAGAAACGGTTATATGAAAAATTTTTATTTGACAGAGAAATGAAAAATTTTCTTTAATTTGTTAGTTTTTGATAGAAAAATTTTGGCTTGCACACACACGTATTCACGCAAAACAAAATGCCGACAAGCTAGACACACAAGCCTTCAAAAAGCAGGCGTTGCTTTTTCTATCATTTTCTTGTCTTACTTCACGCACACATTCATGTACTTTTTACTACCGTTTTCCTCACGTACTTTTTTCTTTCTCTCTCTATTCCTTTTTTTAACGTTTCACCTTACTCTTGCTTTATTTTCCTTACAATTTATCACTTTTTTTCGTTCTTTTTAATAAATAACATTAACGTTTATGTAAAATGCTTTTAAGAATTTATGGTCTTTTTTTCTCACAAATTTTTATGAAAAAATGAAAAACACCTACACACGAAATTATGAACAAAGCAGCACACTCGATCAGCGTCTCATTTCCGTTTCTGAGAACTTCGATTTTTCGTGATAATGGTCACGTTTCTTATAAGTTTTTTTTTAACCATTTATTATATTAGTTTATTAACTTTTTTCCATGATAACTTATATATGTTTTTATATATAAATTTATCGTTGTCTTCTACATTTTATGTAGAAATACATATAGCGAAGCTAGAAAAAATTCTTCTTCTTCTCGTGCACGACGAATTGTAAATAAATGAAGAAATAAAAAGAACTGAAAATATAGCTGCCAAAGCTTCCAATTTTTCTCGAAATTAATGATAAGATTACCTCTATATAGTAAATTACCATATCTAATAATATAAACGGCAATGATATAAAAGTGAATAAAAATGGCAACACATTGATGAAAATATATATAATTCGTGTATTTGTAGTGAATATTCATGTATAAAACATTAGTGTGGCCTTCTTTTTTATTGTCCTTGCAAGAGTTGCCAGAAGTTGGCTTGTGCGAATTATATATGTATACTTCACACAAAACGTGCACATTGAGAAACAACAAATCCTATGAATAACAATAGAGTTTAAACTTGTCATTTTTGCCAGCTAAAGGACAAATTAGTAATAGCACCATGAGTAATAATTGTTAAACCTATTATTCTTTGATTTCTTTTGTGCTATGTAATATCGCAGATAGATAAAGAAAAACTTGAAAGACATTTTATATTTTAGCTGTTAATTAGCACCCACTTAACTGTTTGTTTTGTGAGGACGTTTCGTTCCTTTCCTTATGGCTGGGGCAGCTCAGCGGCCCAGGGAAGGAAAAAACACAAGACATTTGTTGGTTGCAGGGACCTTTATTTTATAAATTTCACTTTACTTTATTATTTCGCTAACTTCCTAATTACTTCGAAGACAAGAACTCAACTCTTCACGTCGACCACTAAAACTCAAATAACTTAACCTATTTTTATATCCTACTCTTAACCTATCCTTAGCCTACGCTTAATCTATCCTATTCTATCTTAATCTATTCTTATTCTATGTCTATCCTACTCTTATGCTAGGTCTACCCTATTCTTATGCTATGCCTATCCTACTCTCATGCTAGGCCTATCCAATCCTTATGCTATGCCTATCCTATTCTTATCCTATCTTACTCTCTAGCACTCCCTCTCTCCGCAGCCAGAGACGGAGAACCCGTGAGGCCAAAACGAGGGACGACTTTGCGTCCTCACAGTTTCTTCATTCTCCATGTTCTGCTAGTGATTTTGGATCCGACGTTTCAATAACAATACGCCTAGATCGGCTCAAAAATGACGTTGAGCCCATTTCAAGTCTTTCCGGGTATTATATACATTCGCATAAGCGTAATTCAGCATTAGATGTAGGCTATAAAAATAAAACAACTTTTATTTTCTCTAAACGTATTTATTACTACCAAGAATGAAAGGATTCATTTTTTCTCTTAATAAACTATGACACATTATTTCAATTTAATCCTTAACATGTATTTTTTCTGTTCGTTTCAAATAGACATAGAGTTGCTTCTAATAAATAAGAAAAGTTGGCAACACATTAGCTCCTTAAATAGCTAATCAATGTAACTGAATGTTGTTAAACGGCAAAGCAATGTAATTGAATGCTGTTAATTGGCAAAGCAAAGTAACTGAATCCTGTTTATTTATTTATTTATTTATTTTAATTCTACTTATACATGAAACTCAACTAAACAAATAACAGTCGAGTTCAATTGGCTCTTAATGCATAACTTATATTAATTAATAATAAAACTTAGTATAAGTATAATAAAACAAATAAGAAGAAAAAAAAGAAAAAGAAAAAAAAGCATGTACACTATCAGCATAGGAGCACACTTACAACCGGTACAGGACCAAATTGCAAATGAACCCCTAAGCCATCGCAAACATGCATAAGCCTGGCAACCGATAATAAATTGACAATAATTCACTTTCGAAACGTAACGACTTTTTAAGGATAAAAGCTAGTTTAAATACGACATAGGTAAATCGCGCGTATTAAGCAATGTTGCTTTAATGGACTTTAAAGAGTCCGATAACGAGAATAAGTGGTAGACGTCATTTAGGTTCTTGCAAACGACTCTGAGCGGATTGAACAGCTCATAATTAAATTTACACTGATTAAGCTTAACCAAGATAAAGTGCCTAGAGAAGCGGTTAGGGACATTAAAGCTTATTTCACCAAGTAATGAAGGCGAGTCAATAGCACCATTTATTACTTTAATTAGAAACGAAACGCCAAGAACAAATCTACGTTTCTCAAGAGACGGTAGGGACAGCAGAAGCAATCGGATCCCAACCCAAATTTCTAAGGGCAAACAGCAAGAATTGCTTTTGAACAGTTTCAATTGAATCTACGTAGCACCTATATGAAGGAGACCACACAACTGAGGCGTACTCGAGTATGGGTCTAACCAAACACATGTAAAGCCTTTTCGTAATGTAGGGATCATCAAGCTCTTTGGACCACCTTTTTATAAAACCAAGCGCGGACCTAGCTTTGCTAATCGAGAGCTCAATATGCAAGTTAAAGCGTAACCTATGGTCAAATAGAACGCCTAAATCTGTAATCGAATCGACGTCCTCCAACTTATGCGATTCTATGAAATACTGAGTAATGAACGACTTTCTTCTTGAGAATGAAAGCTTCTTACATTTACTCAGATTTAGTTTCAGAAGATTCAAAGAGCACCATGCAACAAAATTATCCAAATCACCTTGAAGCTGATGTGATTGGGATTCAACAGAGAAGGAAGAAAACAGTTTCATATCATCAGCATACATTAAGATCTGGCTGGAATTAACCACCGATAGGAGATCGTCAATGTATAAACTAAATAAAATGGGACCTAAGTGGCTGCCTTGAGGTACGCCACACGGCACGGGGAATTCATCCGCGGTGATGAAGTTAAACAAAACCCTGAACGATCTACTGTGCAGATAAGAGCTTATCCATGTTACTAAATACAAAGGGAAGCCAGGGGCTTGGAGTGTAAAGATAAGTAAGTTATGGTTAACCATATCAAATGCTTTGCTTAAATCAGTATAAATAACATCTGTGCGAGAGCCACTAGAAAAAGCCTTGAAAACTTGACAGATAAACTCTAACAAGTTGGTGACTGTAGATCGCCCTTTCCGAAAGCCGTGCTGGTGCGAAGAAATATACGAATTAATGGCAAAGGCCAGATGCTGAGTCACAATACGCTCGAACAACTTGAGCCAGACAAAGTAGAGATCAAGCAGTCTACCATTACCATGTTTGTTAAATGGCAAAGCAATGTAACCGGAGTCTGTTAAATAGCAAAACAATGTAACCGGAGTCTGTTAAATGGCAAATCAAACAAAATCTCTGTTAAAATGGCAAAGCTATACAAACAAACACAACAGAAATTGCAAGACAAGCAGTCTTACATGATAATGGTAATATATATAATATATATATATATTTATATGTTAATTAAATTAAAAGTTAGGATTTTTATTATACATAATTTTCTTTTCAATTTGTAATCCTATGTGAATTAATTTCAAATAATAAATAACAACAAAATTATATTAATCTCCATAAAGAATCCTATAAATAAATATCTTTAATCAATTGGGTAATTACACGTATGGGTCCATCTTTAAAAAAAAAGATCTTTGAAGTTGCATAGGTAAAAGTAATTATTCTATTAGTCTTAGATGCTTCCAAATTCAGGGCCGCTTTTTTATTCTTTCGCAATTGTAAACAAATTTCATGAACAAGTGATTAATTTCGTATTTTTTTCGTTCCGCCGTGCTGCGACGTCTGGACGTTTAAGATTCAACCACATTTGTAATTTTTACATGCTAATTGCACTCTGAACCTCACCTTGTTTGCTAGGAAGTTTTGGATAAGAAAATTTTTATTCGTATTGTTATCAACTAAGAGCATAAACAATTCTATGTTTTTAAATGTATATGCGCTGCAGTGTACATAAACGTGCAAACGTATCAAAAAAAGCCAAAGACTAGGTAGCGAATGTAAATTGTCAAATAAATGTTCGATTCGAGCCATGTTTTCATTTATTTATTTTTTATTAAATTCATATAATAGTTTCATCGGTCGTATATATACTTATTGTATATATATTGTATAAAATGCTATCGGTTAGCTAAGTTCTACAGGCATGAGCGAACGTTATATTTTGGTGACACGCTCGGAACGAGTCAAACTTGCGATTTTTGTGTGAACAAATGACTCTCTTCAACAGAATAAATTTATCGGGCTGTACGGACACAAGATTTTTGTTTGGAAAAAGTTATTATCCGTCGGAAAGGCCAAGCAGGCTAAAGATCTCGAATAACAACTCAACGAGCTCAAGTCTCATGCGCGGAGAGTTTTCAATGAATGCCTTAGTCTTTGAACTTATTTCTCCGGCTAAATTAATTATATAATAATTATAATAATAATAATAGAATAACCTAAACTTGCGTCACTGAAGAACTCTTCTCAGCCCGGCCACAGTCTAACCCAAGGGCATAGAGGAAATCAGGTGATCGCGCAGGAGAAGACACCACGAAATGTAGGATTTCCTAAATCGCGAAGAGAAGAAAGCATGAACGAAAATTTTCAATACAATTGATTACCGAAGCGTGCGATTTTCTTATCTAATAAACCGCATTACGTTCTGCTCGAGCTCGAGCGATATAAATATAATCTTAACATAGAGAAGGTATTGCGTACCTTACCGTAGAGCTATTTTGTGCCTACTTTTGTGTCTACTTTTGTGTAGAGCAAACGAAACGTGTCGTTTCGAAAAAGCCTAAGCGAGGACGAAAGTAACGCACAAAGGAGTGAAGTGATCTTCTCTGGAAGAGAAGAGAATGAGCAAGAAACATGGCGTAGAGATAAAAAATCAGTTTATATTAAGACTGCCTGAGGAGGCAGCCAAGCTGCTGAGGGAGATCTAATTTAAAAGATCGCATTGGCTTACAGCTAGACAATGATTTGTATTTAATTAATTATTTGATTATTTATTTCATTTTATCTTTTTCGTTTTTATATTTTGACGAATTGTAAGGACGGCGAAGACCTTTGTACATATCTGTAATTCAATTTTTGCGCTCTTTCATTATTATATGCTATTATTATATTATTCAAATCTTCTCTTATTTCGTTTAGCTTTGCATTTATTATTACTACGCTTTGCTTTGTCTCATTTGTGTCATTGTTTGCAGCAATAGATAACCGATAAACAAAATCAGATCCAATTGTTTTCGTTTCATTGTTCATCACATATCGAAAAGTTATACATTTTATGTTCGTTAAGCGTTTCGTTCAATTCCAGCGAAAATATTCCATAGGAAAGTGTATATTTGCATAAATATATATTTATTTAAAATTTTTTTATTTATTTTAATGGAATGCATTTAAGGAAATTCGCCTTTATTTCAATGTTTTCGTTTTGAATGAAATATTATTGATAAAAGTGACAAATATATCTAACACAATGAATATCTTTATATCAAGAAACTATTAACAGGATTTTTGACCATACCAAGAAGCAGAATGAAAGAGTACGCAGTTAAATGGCTGCAAGTTAACAGTACTACTATTGTTATTGATAACAGAGATTAGAGTCTCTGTAATTTTGTCATTTTTTATTTATGAAAATATTTCTTGGTCTCTCTATGCATTTATTTCTCTCGGGGGTACATTTCGCTAATGGAACGAAAAACACGTAAACGCCCGAATGAAAAGCTATATATACGCGTAAGTCTTCGTCTTTATGCAATGCTGTATATATTCGTGATCAGCATGAAATTTCGAATTGATTAAGTTATGTCTGTTCGCTTCTTTATCTGTGTGGTATATGTGGTAATAAGGGTTCTGATTTCAAATCTGGTAGAAACATTGGAAGTGTCTGTACGTAGGTTGGTATGAAAAAATGAGCCAAATTGGCCATAGCATAGACACCTGTTAAAGCGATAAGTTTTTGTGAGTTTTCGCTCGTTCCGAAATTTTCAACATTTACTTAATGAAAAAAGTGGAAAATGTCGGCTGTGCCCACACAAAGTTCCTTTTATCATTTTTTGGTGTTTTATGGTTATTTATCATTGTGTTCAAAACCATTTTGTACATTCTTTGAATGCAGGTACATTATCTGCCCAAAAATGGGTTAACTTTAAAATGAATATGGTAGATACACCGACCTGTTAGGTTAATTTTTTCTGAATAATATCATCGATATGGGTACCACATAAAAGGACTTGGAGAACAGAATCCGAGAAACTAAGTGTGTTGATTCTAAGTTAATTGTAGTAAACGTCACTATTTAATGGATAAACGTTTTTTAAAAATAACTTTTATATGGATATCAAATGGAAGGACTTGGAGAGTACAATGTGCGTTAGTTATAATTTGATTATTGTGGACGTTTAATATATAAAGTTTTGGGGCGTTTAGAAAAAATTGATTTTTTAAATATTAGTGGGTATGCGAGATTCGTCTTCCGCCGAATGTAACTTTCTTACTGGTTTCAATTCGTTCATTTCCTTCTATTAGCACGTAATTTTCGTTGCAACTTTAAGAATATGAGACAAAATCGTAACCTTATTCACAACAGTGTACTATCTGAAGATGTCTTTCCGATGAGATTCTGAGCGGAACATATCAAAAAAAAGAAGAATATCAATACGTAGCTTTCCAATATCAAGGATCCACACCGAATAATGCCTGCCTATATGCAGGCCGGGCGCTCGTATACCATTTTCTAATAAAACTCAAAACAATTAAAAAGAGGAAATGACGTCGTTTAACAATCGTTATCAATAGTTTTTTTCTCAACTATTCAAACTAATGAAAATTGTTATTCGTTCTTTTTGTAAATAAAAGTTTGCTTAAACAATATGAGTTACTAGTTACTTCGCTTACACGAAAGAGATCGAAACCAATCTCTGTTAATGTGCAAGAATTGTTTGTTTTCACTAGTATAAAGTGTAAAATCCGTTTACTTCTACAAAAATAATATAGAAGTTCAGATATGTTGACATTGACTTTCAAAAAAGTTCGTCAAATTTCAACTGTATATTTGCCTGCTCTCTCCCATATTTGTATACGTGTTACGTGATTCAAATCTTCGTAAACTTCCATTTGCACATCCGCAAAGCTTGCACAATATCATCTCACATGCAAACACACCCTCTAGCTACTGGTTTAACACCTAGGGGTGCGGGGTGCAATAATAACTTAATATGATTTAAAAATTTTTCTCCAATATATACTGGCCATGCAGGATCCAATTATGTCTTAATAAAGCAAGCATGTTACGAGCGTACTCAACACAAGCAAAAAATAAATAGCAGATGTATTATGCATACCCATATGCATACGCGTATGCACATAATGTATGACTGAAATTCGAATTCGAGTTCCTATGTCATTTTCTTTTCAGTGAGTTCATTGTAGAAGTTTGCATACATTCAATGAAGATTTACGTTTTTATAATGTATTTATATAGTTATACTTATATATTTATATACTTATACATAAAAAAAATGTTGCAGAGCGAAATTTTTGGGCTTTTGGTTATTTTCATAGAAAAATTTCGAGCTTTTAATGCAAACTTTATTTATTATATCCCAGTTTTTTTTCAACAATAACCTAGAGGTTACTCTTGCGCATGAATATCTTCCTCATTCAAATTATACTTTATCACATCGTGTATACAGTAGACTAAATTTATTTGGAACGCTTTGCACCGTATTCATCACAAAACAAAAATTAATGTCTAATTCCACATTTGCGATTATTCAATTATGTAGTTGATGATGAGATGAATCCCCAACAAAGGATCATCATCTTTTTCTTCTTCTTCTTCAGTAGATCTAGGTTTTTTTCCCGGTTGTCTTAGTTTAGTGGTCTTCAAAGCTATTATTAACTGATCATGGTAAATTAATCGATCCAATACTTTTTGTTCCAAATACCATGTAATAACATCACTGCGTTTCATGCCAATATCACGGCCCTCGGTTTCGGCTTGCTCTTGCTGATTTCCTTGAATATTCTCTCCATTAATTTCTCTCATTTCTATGTCGCCCGCAAATGCTTCATCTTCCTCCTCCTCCAAGTGAATATCCGGTTGTTCCATTCGTATTATAGATTTGTTTAGCAAACGAAAAGCTTCTTTAACATGACGTTTCTGTACCTCGTTCATGCATTCTAATTTGGCCATAGCTTCACTTAAACGTATCATGGATTCTAACTGGCGCACGATAATGCGCCAAGTGCTGCGACCGGCACATTTATAAAAGTTTTGAATTGACGAGCAAATGTTACACAGCGTAAAACCTCT